TACCTGTGGCCTGGGAAAGCAGTGGAGGAAGGCTCAAGGCCTTGGGCCCCTGTACCCATGTGAGAAACCCAGAAGAACCTCCTGGTCGCCAGCTTTGAATCAACTTGGCTCTGGCTATTGCACCCACTAATGGAATGAATCAGTGGATGAAAGACCTTTCTCTCTCTCTCTGTTAAAATCTACCTTCAAATACAAATAAATTAATCTTTAAACACACACACTCGCTCACATATACCTATGCCTTTTGCTTATAAGCTGCAACAGTTGTACTCAAAATACAGCAATTATCTTACAGTAGTCCGAAGCTTGAGGAATTTAAAGAAAACCCCTATAAGTAAAAAGTAGAATTAGAATGTGGTGCTTTCTCCATTGATGGTGAAGAGAAATTCCAAAAGCAACCTCTGCACTCCTGGGAATTTTGTCACTGAATGAGAAGCAATCACGGAGGGCAGGCTGTAGTTCAGGCACTGCTACAAGTCAGAAAGGCAATCCCGTCCTGTTTCCAACTTGAACCTACAACATTCAGATACTCATCTTACCTGCCACCGCTTCTTTGAAACCATCTACCGTAATAATCTGTCCAACTTGTTCATAAACAATACTTTCTAAATTTCTTAAAGCTTTTTTTGTAACTGATTTTAAAAAGCTTTATACATAATAAACTAGGTAGTGAACACTGTAAAGCACTTTGCATACCGCTTTGTATTAAGAGAGAGATTTATTTTTTATCACTAAGGCAAATTTACAGAGAGGAGAGACAGAAGCAATTTTCATCTGATGGCTCACGCTCCAGAATGGACACAATGGCTGGAGATGAGCCATCATGCCAACCCCTGCATGCCCTGAAAATCACCTTCCCCTAGGTGCCATGAAGAGGACGCTCCTGTAGCCCTCTTGTACAAATCAGAAAATGACAAGAACTCAAGGACACAGCAGCAGAGATTTAAACTGAAGTCTGACCCCAAACTCAGACTCTAATTCATGCTACATTCGCCACCTTCTAAGTTCTCTTGTCTCATAAACAAATAATTAGACATCACTCAAAATTCTTCCCAACTGATCCTTTAACTCAGAACAAGACAGCAACTGCTTATGCTATTCATTAAATTAAGCAGCTTTAAAAAGAGGGGAAAATTTTAAACTCAACCATAGGTGAATAAACAGTACATCATCCACAACATAGTGCACCATTCGGCCTTTATAAAGGATGCTAATACCTGGCATCGTGGCTCAACAAGCTAATCCTCTACCCAAAGGCACCAGCATCCCATACAGGCATCAGGTCACATCCTGGCTGTTCCATTTCCCCATCCAGATCTCTGCTTATGGCCTGGGAAAGCAGTAGAAGATGGCCCAAGTCCTTGGAATCCTGCACCAGCATAGGAGATCTGACTCCCAGCTTTGGATCAGGTCAGCTCTTACCACTGTGGTCATCTGGGGATGCAAAATCTTCTGTGTCTCTCTTTCTCTCTATAAATCTGCCTTTCACATAAAAATAAGTCTAAAAAAAAAAATGCTAAATGCAGAATCTACTTTCCAAAGCAGGCCCATGGATTGAGTGCTCTGTGCAAGGCAAAGCCTCTATCCTCAAAATACTCTTACACAGAGTTGAAGGGACAAGACATACACCAACTGCTAGTAAGAATGACGACTTCTACCAAGAAATACAACAAAAACACTAGGAACTTTTGGAAAGTTTAATGTGTAAGTAAACAGTTTCTACTCCTTTAAATGATAACAACATCTTATAAAAATATCTCTACTTTCTTAAACACAAAATATGGCATAAACAATCAAAACAGCTAACATTTAATGCTTAATGGGCTAAAGTCTTTACATCTGAACAATTGGTCTTTAATCAAACAAGATAAGCACTACTAATTGGATCCATTAAAAAAAAAAAAGACTATTTATCCAAAGTCACAGAGCTGGTAAACAGCAGCTGAGAGTCAAATAAGGCGTCTATCTCTTTATTCTGCCTTCTGATACATTTATCCATTGAGTGAAACAATTCCTGGCTAAATTGTGCAGACGAAGCATTGTACTGTGAAATGATAGTGCAATGAATAAGATAGCTTATGGGTGAAACTCATCTCCGGACTAGAAGTTCACTTTGTTTTAATTCAAGAGATAGGGATAATAAAGAGAGCTCCCTTCTACTTTTTCACCCTGCAGCTGCCCACTGGTTCCCAGACAAAGTCACCAGTCAGGAGTCAGAAAGCCCAGCCAAGTCTCCTTCACGGGACAGAGGGACCTGCCTACTCAGTCACCTGCTTACTGCAATACTCTTAGTGTGTTGGTAAAGGGGATGGAGCCTGTAGTCAAAACCAGCCTCTAACACAGAACGCAGGCTTCTTAACCAAGAAGGCCAACCATTCCGGTATTTTTGTTTTCCAACAAATATGATAATTACATGTTGTATAAAATGTTACAAAGGAAATATACAACGTGATATGACAGAGTAACTGGAAGAATTACTTCTGCTTTGAAAAGGCCTCCAAAAATGCTGTAGGCTATTCCCAAAGGCAAGCTAGGTAGGGACCACAGAAGCCAGGGGACCATGAAGGACACTCCAGTTAGGAAATTATCAGAGAAGTAGCAAAGAAAAACCAGTTTTGTTACAGATTTCCTTACAGGATGAGTCATCTCTGCTAACAGGAACATGCTTACAAAAAGTTACAGACCTGGTCAAGATTGCAAGCTGGGTTGCAAGAAGAGCAGCCAATTCAGAAGACACATAATATTTTGGGTAAGAACATAAACACAGCCTCTACTAAAGGAAAGGAAGGTTTGACAGAGAAGAGTATTCTGATTTGGGGGCTAGAATCCTGAAGGCACTGGGAACTCCATGGCAGTTAAGACACCACTTGAGACACCACATCTCCTATCAGAGTACCTAAGGTTGATTCCAGTTTCCTGCTAATGCACACCCCAGGAGGTGACAGGTGCTGGCCCAAGCAGCTGGGTGCCTGCCACCCACCTGGACACCCTGGATTAAATTCCCAGCCCCTGGCCTTGAATTCCAGGCTCAGTCTGACCCAGCATCTGGTGAAACAACCAGTGGATAAGACATCTTTCAAATAAATAAAAGGAAGATAAAAGAATTGTTAATGGGAAAAAAAATAACTGAAAAAATTTAAAAATTAAAAAAGAAGTTTTAAACGCACTGTTAGGAGGTGGAAATTGGAATGAAGAGAAAGACAGCTGTAAGACCACTCTGGAAATGTCTGACTTCAAGTTTAACCGTGGCAACAGAAAAATCCTGCATATCCAATATGGAACACTCCCATCTTACCACACTATTTAAACCTGACAGGAATTTCTCCACAAACCCCAGTGAATTAATTCTCTCCTGAATTTTACCCACGTTTGATGAACATGATTTCATATTACCTTGCTGAAATCTTTACAACCAGCTGTCAGTACATATTAATTCATTCAGCCTTAGAAAACGTCACCTAATTATAAATATTGTAAACTATTAGCCGCCTAAGAGACGGAATTTTCAAAAACAAAGTATTGCTTAAGTCCAGATCCCACATGGATTTCAATAAACTAGAATAAGAACATTTAAAGAATCAAGACCGACCCAAGGTTTGGCTTGTTAACTAGCTCCAATGCTATTTTTAGACAAAGCACTACATGTACAACTTTTTCCAAATGATATTATCAAAGTCAAGGATCATACCCTATCTAAACCAAGACCTGTGACAGCTAACATGTTCTACAATGCTCTATCTGCAAGTATTGAAAATACTTATCTGTATTGACTGTCTTATCTGTATTGACTGTCTTAATAGATTTGTTTTCATTCCACACATTTACATTTTACGGCTGGCAGCATAGAGCTGTGCTGGCATCCCTTTTAAAAATTAAAAAAAAAAAAAAAAAGGCTCACACTGTGCCAGTGTTTCAGGTTCAATGGATCTTCTGGGCCTCAAAAACACTCTCAAGTACAAGTTAAACTGTCTTCACCTTCCTCTGGAGTAGGGTAACATGGAAGTTACTTGGCTAAATCAAGACCGCATGTGTTGGGGAAGGGCAGGACCACCGCCAGGTGCCCCCTCCACCCCAACCTGGTGTCCCCACACACCACCAGCCCAACACTGGAATCCTAACCAACCTGGGCTCTTCCCCAGAGAGTCAGACTATTCAGGCTCCAAAGTCGGCGGGGACACCGGCAGGGAAACACAAACAGGAGCACACGCTTCTCCCCCAAACCCCATTCAACCCGGGGTGTGCTTCTCGGCACACTGAACACGACCAGCATTAGAGCCAGGCGCAGAACCCTCGAAGGTGAACTCCGGTGGGAAATTCAGAGATGACTCATGCCGTTAACTGAGGGTTTCCTCACTTAACAATTCCGGACGCCTAAGCATGACACAGACCCTTCTGCATCCCCCGACCCCAAAGTTGCTCAAGTGTCAAAGTGCGGTAGTAAAACACAAAGAAGTAAGGCTGGAGGGAACGTTGCTCCTCTCAGCCCTGCACAAGGGGCCCAAACCACGACGCCCAGCGGGCCCCTTGCGACACCCCAGCCCCAGCTGAGACCCGAAGGACCGGCCGGCCCCGAAGCCCCCGCGCCCCCGATCACCGCCCGGCCGGGAGCTGGCCCCGCAGCGGCGCATCCCTCGCGTCCCTACCTGCCCCGGGGGAGCCCACACACCTGGCCTCCTCCGTCCCCTAGGAGGATGGGAGCCGCGAGCACCGGCCCCGAACGCGGCGCCCTCAGGGCGGCCGGGAGCCCCGGGACAAATCCACTTCCGCCCCCGGCTCACGTGGCCGCGGACGACCGCGCCCCCGCCCCCGCCCGGGACCCCCGACGCCCCGGGACCCCCGGAGGCCCGAGGGACGACCACGCCGGGGACCGGGGCACTAGGAACCGCGGTGCGAGGAAGAGAAGGAGCGCGTCCCGGCGGCCGCGAGGGCACACGGGCAAGGAAGGGCTCCGGGGCAGCAAGGAGGGGGCCCGGCAGCGGCGCGGGGGAGCGGACGTCTACCTGCGAGCAGAAGTACGAGCCCTGGATACCCAGCTTGATGCAGGTGGGACACTGGAGCTTGGCCTCGCTGCTGCAGCCGTCCGTCTCGCACACGCGCGCCTCCACGGCCGCCATGCTGCCTGCCTGCCTGCTGGAGGAGCGCCTCACCGAGGAAGAGGAGCTGGGTGGGGGGCAGGGAGGAACGGCCGCGAGCGGAGGCGACGGGAGAGAGAGAGACCGGGCCGGGGGAGGAGCTCGGCGCGCCACGGGCCTGGGCGCGGAAGCGGGAGGAGCGCTGGGCGGCCTGGGCCTCGCAGCGCGCTCCGCCCCCGCCCGCGCGCAGCGCCCGCCCCCTGCCCCGGAGCCCCGCCCCGTCGCTGAAACCCCGCCCCCGCCGTGCACAGTGCCCGCCCCCTGCCCCGGAGCGAGCCCCGCCCCGTCCCTGAAACCCCGCCCACGCCCTGCGCAGCACCCTCCCTCGGCCCGGGAGCTCCGCCCCCTGCCCAGGAGCCCCGCCCCCTGCCCCGGAGCCCCGACCCGCCCGTGCTCAGCGCCCGCCCCCTGCCCGGGAGCCCCGCCCCACTGCTGAAACCCCGCCCGGAGGGGTGGCGCCCGGGCTCCCTGCGGGCAGCGGCGTCACCTGCGCGCGGGTTGGGGAAAGCCGAATAGGGTCGGTGAGATTGCCTGGTTAGACAGACGGGTTCACAGTTGTCCCTGCTGGGAAGACCCCGCACGTTGGCGTGCAGGCCGCCTTGGAAAATAGTGTCCTTTTTAAAGTTTTGTTTCTCGAGAGTAGTTTTTGTTCTGAGGTCTCAGATTCACTCCTCATTCACAGAACAGCCGGAGAGCTGTCACAGGGGCGGAGAGCTGTCACAGGGGCGGAGAGCTGGAATTGGCATCTGTCCTCCCCTGTGCCCCACTTTTTCCCCCTGCACCTCTGCTATTCACAGTCTAGAGTAATACAACTGCCATATAATCAATATAATTTTTTTTATTATGTCAGTTGATTGTTGTAAGCGGTAGCTAAGGGGGAATTGTGTTAATCATGAAATGTGTCCTTGAAGGAATCTTTACAGCTCCGACGAAAATCTGTTCTCTCCAGCATCTGAACTACCTCCCATATTTGCTGTTTAACTTCTGATCTGTGGTTAAGGAAGAGAAAAACCTAAGTTTATTAGTCCTCAACAAATGTTGTGTTTGTTATCGAGTTATTTTTAATTTGTTTCTATATTTGATAGACCAGGAAAGCTAGTTCATTTTTGTTAAGTAATATGAATGAAAATGTAATAAAATTAGTGGAAGGGAAAATCAACTACCTAGGTATGTATATGTGATTTATGCACATATATATACACATACAGAATTTTTAAATAAAAAACTGACCATACCCATATTGAAAGGCAGAGTGACAGGAGACCCAGAGGGGTTTTCAATCTGCTAGTCAACTCTCCAAATGTCTGCCACACTGGGAGCTGAACACTTCAACTTTAAAGATTTACTTGTGGGCCGAGCGTGATCAATGCCTCAGTGGCTAAATCCTCACCTTGAACTCAATGTGTTCATGTCCTGGCTGCTCCACTTCCCATCCAACTCCCTGCTTGTTGCCTGGGAAAGCAATAGGGGCTAGCCTAAAGCCTGGAAGAAGCTCCTGGCTCCTGGCTTTGGATCAGCTCAGTTGCAAACATTGCGATCACTTGAGTGAACCAATGGACAGAAGATATTTCTCTCTGTCCTCTCTGTAAAACATTTCATATATATGTATATATATATATATATATATAGTTGTGGAGTGTAAGAGAGATCACACTGGACCCAAGTGCAGGATATTAGGAGTCTTTATTGCCCAAGCTTGGTGACAGCAGATCCGACTACATTCCAGGAGCCAATGCAAGGGGTGTGGAAAGTCCGGGGGGAGGGACTTTAAGCGCTCATCTTCCAATCAGATTGAGAGTCACGCAATACAAAGTTTCCTTGTACAGGAGGCAGGATAGTAGTTACCAGAGCTTAATTAACCTTAACCTAGTACAGTAGGAGGTAGGAGGGGCCAGGTGAGCACAGCCTCTGGAGTCATTTCCTTTCCCTCAATTGTTCTGAATGGTGGAAGGCTGGAGGAGCAGGGCATGCTTTTCATGCCTTCAATGAACTTGAATGGCAGAGAGGAGTTAGGAAGGATGCACTGTTTCTGCGCCCTGTTCACCGTCAATTAACCTGACAAGCAGTTGCAAGCCATCAATGGCTGTATCCCATCACGATATATTTTTTTAAAAGATATTTATTTATTTGAAAGAGTTGGGACTTTCATCCACTGGTTTACTCCCTGGATGGACCAGGCCTCAGCTAGGAGCTTCATCCAGTCTCCCATGTCATTGGCAGGGACCCAAATGCTTGCACCAGCCTCCAGTACTTTTCTCAGGCCATTAACAGGGAGCTGGATTGGAAGTAGAGCAGATGTGCCCCTGCTCAGCACCCGTGTGGAATACTAACTTCATAAGCAGTGGCTTTACCATCTACATCTTAGTGCTGGTTGGTCTTTTGTCATATAATTTTCATTTATACATGATGTTCTGTTGCATAGATAATATAGCTAACTAGATGCATTAATAATAGACATTTAGATTATTTTAAATCATATATTATAAGTAATCGGGTATTTTCTTGGCTAGAATTTAGCATATAATCATTAAGTGTATATGTATATATAGCATGTGTATGGGTATGGATATGTATGTGTGTGTATATATACTTTCTTAAGCAAGAAAGTCATTTACTGACTCATCCCCAAATGCCTGCACTGACTGGAAGAGAAGCTAGAGCCGGTAAATGAAACTAGCTTTATTTGAGCCATCACTGCTGACCCCCAACATCTGCCAATGGAAAGGGACAGCAAACAGGCATTGAACCCACATATTCCCATATGGGACCCAGGCATCCTAACTGGATAGATTACGTCACTTAAGATATGTTTTCCAAAGTAGAATTACTGCATAAAAGGGTTTTCACTGTCTACTATTCTTTATATACTTTGCTATATTTCTACATAAGTAATTTTTGAGGAAATGTGGTCCATTTTCCATACAGGATGGAAAATTAGTTGACTTGAAGATATAGCAAAACGCACCAGGACAAGAGAAATTGGAACACTGGAAAGCAAGGAGAAAGTTAACTTTGTAACTTGGGTGACATCCAGGAAGACTGGGAGAGACTAGCATAGAATTTAGGCCTCCGTTCCTGGAAACTCCAACTATCTGGTGGTCTTCCTAGCTCCAGATTTAGATATCTCACCCAGAGATCAGGCAGGGCTCAAGATGCAACCCTGTCAAAAATGGTCTATTTTCCTTCTCTTGCTACTTGGGGCTATGATGGCTACTATGACAGCCATAGGAGCTATGGCCGTAGTAGTACCACAAGTACAGCACACCTGGCTAACCATACAAAATAAAGATTACTTGCCCATGGTCCGGAAACACCTGGGAGTATCATGGTACCAAATATACTCATTAGCTAGTGTTGCTAGCCCTCCTGACTGCGGAAAAGGGGGAACTGTGTGTTCCTCAGCAAGGAATGTTGCTTCTGTGAAAACCACTCAGGGGAAATAAGAGAAAATGAAAAAAAAAATTGCTAGAAAAAATACAAGCAAGAAATTATCAGGCCTCCTTGGGATAGGGAGCAACTTGAACCATCTAGGGTCCCTAGGTAGCAAACACCCTTAGCTTGGCTTCCTGTTCAGACCTCAAATTACAAACCTCCTGATTAACTTCATTCAATCTTTGGTTGAGACAGTCAGATTATAGCTGGTAATGCGAGAGTATCAAGTAATTCCACTGCATGGAATGGATGGTTCACAAGGGATTGTGGAAGTGATAGGAGAGGATGAGGCAAAAAGCAAGCCCAGGGCCTGGCGCCATGGCCTAGTGGCGAAAGTCCTTGCCTTGAACGCACAGGGATCCCATATGGGTGCCGGTTCTAATCCCAACAGTTTCACTTTTCATCCAGCTCCCTGCTTGTGGCCTGGGAAATCAGTAGAGGACGGCCGAAAGCCTTGGGACCCTGCACCTGCAAGGGAGACCCAGAAGAGACTACTGGTTCCTGACTGAATTGGCGCAGCTCTGGCTGTTGCAGTCACTTGGGGAGTGAACCATCAGACAGAAGATCTTCCTCTCTGTATATCTGACTTTGCAATAAAAACAAAATAGATCTTTTTTTTAAAAAAAAAGAATTAAAAAAAAAAAGAGCAAGCCCAAACAGAAGTCACAGGGAGATTAGAAGGTTCTGGGAATCTTCAGTTTACTGTAACTCAGCTAAGACCAAATATGGAATGAAACTAACAGTCTGAGGCTAACTGCCTTGTATTTGCTTCTGTACTTCCTGCTTGCTTCCTTCTCTTTCCCTATAAAAACTGAGGGGAAGGCGGTCAGGGCTTAGCCATTTTGGACTCATCTAGACTAATGCCCTCCGGAGAAATGAGGTTCTTCCTTTTCTGTAAGCAGCTGTTAACTCTCTGGTGGTCTTTTCTGTAACAAGGAAGAGACAAAATGAACAAGATAAATTTAATAGAATACTAATAATTAAGGGGAGGAAGCCTTTAGCCTGGCAGTTAGAAAAATATCGTAATCCCATATCGGAGCACCTGGATTCAATTCCTTACCCCAGTTCCTAATTCTTTTATTTTTTTTTTAAGATTTATTTTATTTTTTATTGCAAAGTCAGATATACAGAGAAGAGGAGAGACAGAGAGGAAGATCTTCCCTCCAATGATTCACTCCCCAAGATGCTGCCATGGCTGGAGCTGATCCAAAGCCAGGAACAAGGAGCCTCTTCCAGGTCTTTCACACGGTTGCAGGATCCCAAAGCTTTGGGCCATCCTTGACTGCTTTCCAGGCCACAAGCAGGGAGTTGGATGGGAAGTAGGGCAGCCAGGACATGAACTAGTGCCCACATGGAATCCCAGCACATATAAGGCTAAGACTTTAGCCACTAGGCTACCATGCGAGTCCCCTGCAGCTCCTAATTCTAGCTTCTTGCCAATGCAGACCCTGGAAAGTAGCGGTAATGGTCTAAACCACCCATATGGGAGACCTAGAGTATATTCCTGGCTTTTAGCTTCAATCACAGCTCATTGCTGGCCATCATAATCACATATACTGTGATGGCAATCATTTGCTTGTTTTCTCTCTCCCAGTCATGTCTTTT